AGGTTGAGGATGGGTAATTTACCGAGCGCGGAGGCGCGGCCCTTGGTAAAGGCCCTTAGAAAGCTTTTAAAAGCTAGAGACCTCAGGGTAGGTCAAAAAACACTGGAACTATTCATAGCAGAGGTAGATAGGGTGGCTCCCTGGTTTTTACCCACAGGGCATTTAAACCTGCCATCATGGGAGAAGTTAGGCGGGGACCTCGCCTCGGCGGAATTGGGAGGCGATATTTCGCCGGCTATTCGCCCCCTGTGGGAAATGATACATGCGTGCCTTGACTCCTATGCCGAGTTGCGCCGCAAATTGTGTGCGTGCGCCGCTCGAAAAAAGCAGAGAGAGGAAAAAGGACCCCCGAGAGCCCTCTGGCGGGGAGGAGATAGAGAGCCATCCGCTCCGCCCTGGAGCTCTTCTCCAGAAGCGGCTCCCCACCGAGAGGCCGCTACAGGGAACCCTCCCTTCTCTCAGCCGGCACAGGAAGTGACGCCCCGTTCCACTCTGTCGCGATCGCCGTCCTACGTTGCGCCGCGGGGCGGACGGTATTTTCATGGGCGGCTACTCTGCCGAGCAGGCTGAGAAAAACGCCGGTCGAGGAAACGGGGGCTGGGGATTTAGCTCAGCGGCATAAGCGCCTGCCTTGTAAGCAGGCAATCGCGAGTTCGATCCCTGGTACCGATAAAAAAAAAAAAAAAAAAAAAAAAAAAATGAAAAAGACCAAAAATAAAAAAAATAAAAAATAAAAAACAAAAAGGGGGAGTAAGCCAAGGCCTGCCTCCAAAGGCGCGGTTATCTATGGCATGACAATGGATGGGCCCGGATCCGGTGGTTAGCTGGAACCGAGGCGCGGTTTGTGTTTTTCCGCAGGAACCAGGACGAAAACCACTGTGGGTCCCAGAGAGGTTGACGCGACAAGTCCCTCGACTAAAGATCAGGCCTGTTCCACCAGAGGCCAACCGCAGACCCAACAACAAGATGAGCCCTAAAAAAACTGCAGGACAATCCCTTTTTGGGGAGCCTGGAATGGCTTGCTCCCCTATGTTTTACCATTGTTAGGTCCCCTGTGCTCCTTGCTTCTGTTCTTACTTGTAGGACCATTCTTGCTCCGATGGGTCACATCATTTATTAATGGGCGCCTTGCGGCAGCCCGGCGTCAAGTACGCCTGGTTGCCCATGCAGCCCTGGCAGCAGCCCGTGATGGGCACAATGACCCCCAGGCCTACGCATGGCTCGCTCTGGCCTACGACCGGGTCTAGGTGTGGCGGGTCTTCCGCATTCCTTCCCTAATGACACCACACAGCAGGGTAGGTGAGTCAATGATGGGTAAGAGCGTGCCTCCCCAGCACGACTCGACCTAAGCCAGGCCCTACCCCATGGCGCACGAAAGCCGCTGGATTACTAGAATCTGACCAGATCTAGATGCCTCTCCGAGGGGATCACACGGAGGGGCATGAGTGCATGCCTATGTGCATCCAGGTTCCGTCCAGTTCACTCCTGGCCCTGGAAAAAGGACGAGGGTCTCAAGGCCTTGGCGGACCCGGGGGCGGCCGACCAGGGTCCAAGCCAAGGGCCTACGGTGGGCCTCAACACAGGGCATAAGCCTCTGCACTCGATCCAGGGCGGGCTGCGATGCATACATTCATTCAAAGTAAATAAAATAGGGGGAGATGTTGGGAGCCGCAGCCGACACCGGTCGCCTTACTTGGCGGACGTAGGGCCTGTGGGTGGGAGCGGAGCCTGAGCTAGATTGCCCCTCCCATCGAGTGAGCCAAGTTGGCGCCTGCTTCCTGCCCCCTGATTGCCCTGGCGACGTAAGCAGCCCGCGCAATAGAATAGTCTGCCTAGCAACAACTGATGTTAGCCAATCAGCCCGCATCGCGCGCTTTGAACTGATTGGCCACTGTTACCCTATAAAAGTAAATGCCTCTCCCGCCACGAGGGAGAAGCACAGAGAGGAAGCACAGAGAGAGATAGAGAAAGTCCACCGGCGAGAAAGGGCTGGTGGCAGAGAGGAGGCCTCACGGGGCCCACGCGGAGACAAATAAAGGCAAGGTTGCACACCGCCAGACTTTGTCGTGTGTCTTTCCTGCCGGCCGGGAGCGACCCCGACAGTCTACCATTATTTACTTAATAAAATTCACTTAAGATTCACCCATCCTGGCCTGTAATAGGCATGTTATTACTTTTTACTGCTGTGTAGTATTCCATTGTATGAACATACCATAATTTGGTCTTCTTTTTGTCTGCTGAAGGGCTACCTGGTGGTTTCGAGTTTTGGGCAACTATACACAAAGCTACATTAAATACTGGCATAAAGATTATGTGAATAAAGGTTTATTTTTTGAAAATTCCTTTTGAGGTTAAGTTTTATTTTAAACAGCTTTATTGAAGCTGATATTTGGTAACTGCACATATTGAAAATGTTCAATTTTGATACATTTTTGAACTTACATAATCATGAAACTATGTATGGTTCTAATCATGATAGTGAAGTTATTCTTCTCATCTAAAAATATAGATCAGGTTTTCATCCATTTCTGTCTCCCACTCCAACTTTATTATCCGTCCCCAGGAAACCATACACCTAACAGTATAGATTAGTTTTCATTTTCTGGAATTTCACATTCTTTTTTAAAGAGAATAAAACAAAAGAGAACAGAACAAAGCAAATCAGAACAAAACAACGTGAGCAACACAGTACTTCATGACAAGACAACTGGATATCAACAGTAGATATCATAATGTCTCTTTTCTTTGAAACAATTGAGCATACCTTCACACACAATAGTATCAAATATAACCAAAATAGTATAAAACCATTCAAGAGAATGAAAGTATTACAGGACATTCAAAACCAAATAACCATAATGAATAATGGCTACTCTAATATCTCATTTTCCATAAAAAAATTTGTTCATGCTATCACATATTAAAATTCAATAAGATTGATAAAAATTCAAAACATGATAGAACTAATGGAAATAGAAGAACAAAAGCATGGTAGGACTTCAAAGCAAGATGATATTAAATCAGCACTAGCTATTATAATGTCTTGTTTTCTTCAAAATAGCTGTTAATACCATCACAGACAATAAAATCAAACAACTCAGAATAAGACCATTCCAACTAATGAATGAAAACATTATAACGCTTCAAAGCAATATAATGGGGAATCATGATTACCATATACTTTTATGTAGTCTTACCATTTCTTACACTAGGGAGACTATACAGTATTTATACATGTGAGTTTAATTTATTTCACTTATGAGTATGGTCTCAAGCTGTGTCCATTTATTTATAACTATCTCAGTGTGATCTCTCTTTATAGCTAAATAGTACTCCACTGTATAAAAATACCACAATTTTTTTTATCCATTCCTCAGTTGTTGGACATTTAGGTTGTTTCCAAGATCTGGCTCTTACAAAGTGTGCTGCTATAAACATGGGTGCACATATATCACTGTGGTATGATGTTTTCAGTTCTTCTGGGAATATGCCTAGAAGTGGAATAGCCGAATCAAATGGGACTTCCAATCCCAGCTTTTTGAGGAATCTCCGCATTGACCTCCACAATGGTTGCACCAGTCTACACTCCCACCAACAGTGCAAGAGAGTCCCTTTTTCCCCATAGCCTCTCCAGCATTTGTTGTTGGCAGTTTTCTTGATCCTGGCCATTTTTTCTGGAGTGAGATGGAATCTCAGTGTTGTTTTAATTTGCATTTCTCTAATGACCAATGATGATGAACATTTTTTTCATGTATTTATTTAGGATTTATGTATTTATGGATTCTAGGATGAATGATGTCATTAGATTTGGTATTAAGCAACAGAAATGAAACCTAGATGCAATAAACCACAAAAGGAAAAGCAGCAACAGGCTATGAAAGCAAAATGAAGACCCATGATGACAAAGGGTTCTCAAACAGTAGTGACTGTGCACCTGTCCAAATATTTAGAAAGGCAAGACCTCAACTTGCAACTATACCACTGACTCATCAATCCTAGTAGACTCCATAAATAAAGCCTTTGAAAGAGTCATTCAGTTGTGGGATATACAATATAAAGAATAGTAATGGCTGTCACATACTCCCCAACAAGGGTGGGTGGAGTGTCCTCCAGGGTCAAAAGACAGTGATTGGGAAAAACTGCTCATCAGAGAGATACCAACATGATAAGAATACAGCATTATGGAAATTAAAATATAGTCAAAGAGATAAATCACAAAGAGGATTTTCAGATTAAGGCAGAAGTGGGTAGAGATAGAGGGAGGTCCTTCTAGAGAGGGGATAGGCTGAACAAAATCCAGGTAGATTTGAGGAGATTCTTAAAGGAGGTGCAGGTAGTCAAAGCTTCAGGAGGCAGAATGAGGGGCCATTTCTGGCTACAAGGTGAAGAAAGCATTTAGAAGGAAAGCAAGACAAAAGACCATTTGGAGGAAGAGAGCCTGACCATGTATTGAAGGAGAGAGGAGACTCTGGACTTACATAAAATGGTCATTACCTGCCAGTGTATGAGTGTGGTACAGTAAGACACAGATGTTACCAGCACCTTTTTTTTTTATTTTTGACCTGGAACTTAGGACCAGGCCAGGGTACAGTGGCAGTTCGGCAAGAGCAGGGTCAAGAATAACCAAAGTTCCTTAGAGTCACAGGGATGACAGCCATATGATTCCCTGCATAGAAGAGGAGCATTTGCCATGTCTTGTGATGCTGCTTCTGTGGATCAGACATTCACTGGATACACAAGCCCTATGTTACTCAAACAAAATAACTCACACAGCAGAGCCTAAACTGTTCAGCTTCCATGTCCAAGGGTGATTTTGCTAAGTGGCAGTTAGGTCTCATCTCATTTTTTTATTGTACCAGGGATCAAACTCATGACTGCAGCTTGCAAGGCAGGTGCTTATGCCGCTGAGCTAAATCCCCAGCCCATAGGTCTCATCTTTACCAGTCCTCTCATAGGTGTTAGGCATGGGAGGATCCCTGATTCCATAACAGTTTGGACAACTACATCTGACATCTGGAGAAGTGCAAGAGTCTCCGCAGGGCACGCCTCACCTCTTGGTTCCTGAGAGTGTAGATGAGGGGGTTCAGGGCAGGACTCAAGGTAGAGTACAGCACTCCAGACACTTTATTTCTCTCTGGGCTGTAACTAGAGGCAGGGCTGATATAGGAACAGAACACAGATGAGTAGAACACCGAGACCACAATGAGGTGAGAGGAGCAGGTGGAGAAGGCCTTCCGTCTCCCTTCAGCTGAGCGCATTTGCAAGACACTGGACACGATGCAGCCATAGGAGAGCAGGGTGAGCAGGAAGTTGAGGCATCCATAGAAGGCATCAGCCAGGAGAGTCATGATGCTATTCATATGTGTGGGGCTGCAAGACAGCAGCAGAAGAGGGGGGATCTCACAGAAAAAGTGAGTGATCACCCTGGGGCCACAGAATGACAACTGTGTCATCAGACCAGTGTGGACCAAAGCATTCAAGGCACAGATGCCCCACACAGCCATGGCCAGGGCCACACAGAGGTGAGGGCTCATTCTGGAGCTGTAGTGCAGAGGAAAGCAGATGGCCACGTAGCGGTCATAGGCCATGACTGTGAGCAGCAGCAACTCTGATGATAGAGACCAAATGAGGAAGAAGAGCTGGGCCATACAGCCTTGGAAGGAGATAGTGTTTTCTGCAGATGCCAGGCCAACCAGAACCTTGGGTAGCACAGAAGAGGTGCAGATGATATCCATGCTAGCCAAGTTGCACAGAAAAAAGTACATGGGGCTCTGAAGACCTTTGGTAAAGCTGACCAAAGCAATAATCACAACATTACCTGTGAGTGCCACAGTGTAGAGGGACAGGAAGGAGCCAAGCAAGAACAGTCTCAGCCCAGGGTGCTCTGAGAACCCCTCCAGCACAAACTCGGTTACCAGTGTCTGGTTGTGGTTTGCCATTTAGATGGAGCAGCCCCAGGTCACATACTCCTGTTTGTAGATCTCTGAGAAGAAATTGTAGGTCTCAATTTTCAAAGCCAGTTTTCCACATGGATATTCATCTTAAAACACCTCCTGTGGGAAAGGGAAAGAATGAACTTATTTCCTTCATGAGACCTAATTTGTCCCATAAATTCCACCCAGCATGCTCTGGAAACCATACATCCTTCATTGACGTTTAGTTTTCCACCTTCAACATTTTCATCATGTAATTTGCTTTCTCAGGAGCATTTAAACCTTTTGGTTTTTTTTTTTTACCATCCTCACATGTAAGCTAAATGAAGCACCACTCACTCGAGATCTGCCTAGTCTTTCTCTGTTACCTGTCATTGATGTACTCTTCAAAGGTGCCATGGAGATGTATCTGTGTTCCTCATCTATACATCAGGGGCTCCCTCTGATAGTTCTTGTAATTTTTTTTTTGCTTACTTAGTTTCTGGCTCCTCAGTCATTGCTCCTTTTCTGTCACCTGGAGTGGGCACTCCAAAACCTCCTGGCAGGTATTCAAATCACTTACAGGACAAGATCCAGAGGTTTAATGAGGGAAAGATAAAGGAAGGAATGGACATGAGCTACACCATTCAAAAGAAGAATTTAAGAACCCCAGAATGTATGAGAAGCTGATTCAGTTACATGCCATTGGGAAGTGTAATGGTTGACACACTGTGTCAACTTGAGAAATGTAAAAGCTTATCTAAGTAACTCAGCATTCTGTATCCTGGGGTGTAGCGGACATATTCTTATCTCTAGGATGTCATCCCCTGTGTCAATCTGAGAAGTTTAGAAGTTTAACTAAGTCACTCATCAGGGTGCCAGGGTATTCACTTTGCAAATATCCTGAGCCTGTGCAAAAGTAGGTTGTGGAGATGTTGTAAGTGTTACACCCACCTGAGGACAGATAGCCTGCATACAATATAAGGGAGGAAAAATGCTTGCTCCCTCTTTTTTTCTCTTTGTTGCTTTTTCTGTCTTCTGCCATCTTGAAGTTTTGCCCCTGTGCTATGCCACCCTGTCTTGGATCCAAATGATTGTGGACTGAAACCTTCACAAACTGTGAGCTAAATAAACCTTCCCTTCTCAGCAATGAGAGAAAAGCAACAGAGATGATGAGCAAGGCATCAACTACCCAAAGGATATATTTGATCTCCATGGCTGGTTTGAACACTCCTACTACAAAACATTAGCCAAGGCCCAGAAGATTAAAATGGATAAATTAGAAAAGACCAAAAAGGATTGAATTAAAATTGAGAATAAGACAGGTACCAAGAAAAGCACCACTGCCAATGCCATGGCCACCTCTACTATCACTGCTAGCACAGCTGCTCCAGATGCCCAAGAAAAAGAGCAAGTGGGGCTCCACCATCCCAGTGACAAAAGTAGCACAACCCACTATTCTCATCACCATAGCCACCCTGACACCTATCATCACAATCACAAAGTGTCAGTGGCTCCAAGATAACTGTCATCTCTGCTGGTGGCACCATCATAAAGATGGCCAAGCAGAGACCTGGGGCTGCTCTAAGACTCATCAGGACTGGGCAGCCCAGGGACTGGTGCCTACTTGGAGGCACCACTTTGTACATTTCAGAACTCGGCTGTGTTCCCCTACTGCCACCTGGAAGGAGCCTCCATGTGGCATTCCAGCCAAAAGGACATCATAGAAGAAGCAAAGGGTGCATTAGTCAATCTGTCCACACACATTTGGGATATGACCCAAAAGGACATCATAGAAGAAGCAAAGGGTGCATTGGTCAATCTGTCCACACACACTTGGGATATGACCATTAAAAGTGCATGTTCAGGGGCTGGGGATTTAGCTCAGCGGCATAAGCACCTGCCTTGCAAGCGTGTGGTCGCGAGTTCGATCCCTGGTACCGACAAAAATGAAAAAGACAAACAAACAAACAAACAAACAAACAAAAAAAGTGCATGTTCTTACATCCTGCCATCTTGGGTACACTGGCGTCTCTCACTTTTCAGGCAAACATGAAGCTCAAGCGGCCTTTCCACTTTCTTAGCTAGAATTATCAGTTCAGGATTGACTGTGGAGTCCTGTATTATGCTTAGTGGTGTGGCTTAGGAAGTCACCATGATCATTCTCACTATATTACCCTTGAAAGGGGCAGGTGGAGGCCTAGAGATGGAGTGATGCACCTTGCTTCTGCTCTGCTGCCCTGATCCAGAAATCAGATCTCCAGTTCTCTGGCAGGAGCTGAGGCCTCTACTCACTTAGGTGACACTAAGCACTCACCAGACTGCTTCTTAGACATGCCCACAATTTTGAAATTGGGCCAGGTACAAGAAGGGCTAGGACAAGATCCCCAACTCACACAGGGAGAGGAGGCAGCAGGCACACCATCAGAGTAATACAAATCAAAACCATAGTGGACTATTACTACACCTCAGGTAGATTGCTGTTGCCAAAATATCAAAAACTGACAAATACTACTAAAGATTCAGAGACAACAGAACTTTTATGCTATGTTGATGGCAATGTAAATTAGGATACTCATTATGAAAAACAGTATGGAGGTTCTTCATTAAACTATTAAATTGAGCTAACTGTGCAAATCAGTGTTTCCACCATTAGGCATTGATCCAAAGGAAACAAAGTCAGCATGGCAAAGGAATATCTACACTCTTAAGTTTATTGCTATGGTAAACCATTCACAAGAGCCAAGAAATGTTACAACTAAATGCTCATCAATAGATACATGGAAGCTCGGAGAAAAATGGTGGCTTGCTGGGAAGCTGAATAGAGAACCTCTGTGGGGAAAATAGCTCAGATGCTAGAATTTGACAACATGAAGAGGGCCAGATGATTGGAGAATGATTCTTATTAACCCCGGAGGAAACTGAAGGGAAAAATAAAATTAGGGAGAGGAAGGAAAAGCGTGGGTGGAGGGCTGAAGCCTGACAAGCTCACTGAGACCCGTTCCGCGCTGTGCTGGGCGTGCCCTAGAGTTGGATGATCCAAAGTCACGCTGAAGCCGCAGCTGCTGATAACGGGAGTCAATGAGTCTGGGGCCCTTGACGGGAGGGCACAGTGTGAAGTGGGCCAAGATGGAGAGCTTTATTGGCTCTCAGTGAGTACTGGAATGTGGGTCCTGGGGCATTGTAGAGCAGCTGGAGCTGCCTGGCTGTGCCAGAGGAGGCCGTGGAGAGGACCATGCACCTGGGTACCAAAGCTGGGTACTGCACAGTTTTCTGAAGAGGGAGGATGCTGATATAGACAAGGAAAAACTACATCAAGCTATAATCTACCTCTGCGGAGGAAGGAAAAACTCTAGTGGAGGGCTGGAGCCCTACGCGCTCATTGAAACAGGTCCATGCTGTGCTGGAAGTGCCATGGAGTCAGGCAATTCGAAGTTGAACTAAAGCCATGGCCACTGATAACGGGAATTATTGAGTCCTGAGCCCTTGGTGGGAGGATGCAACACAGCATGGAGTGGAAGCCAAGATGGAGAACTGCATTGATTCCCAGTGAGTTCTGGGGATTGGGTCCCATGGCTGCTGCCACTGGCTGGAGGACATCTTGGAGTTGGGAAGAGCCCAGCACTAGTGATGTCAGTTGGCTGCCCCTGGCACAGAGAAGACTGGTGAGAACTTCTGGGGCTGAGCTATGCATCTAGTTGGGACACAGTAGCCAGGGTCAAAACTGTCATGACTCTGTAATGTCCACAAGGTACAGCCTAAGTTGCTAAAGTAACTTGCAGGTCAACTGGCTCAGAGCCTTGAGACTAGCCTGCACCATCCCTGCATCCTTGCGTGTACCTCAGATAACAGCAAATTGGGGAGGGCAGCAAAACCCCAATCAGCACACTGTGGAAAGACCCTAAGCAACATGGAGAGAGCCAGAGACCTCCAGGACACACCTGTATGAAAGAAAACAGAAACATGACAAGAGGTAGAAATTTTAAAAAACCTCCAGCCACTGGCCCTGGGAAAATAAGCCCAGGAGAGGTAATCATGCAATATTAGACACAGCATCAGCGGACATAAAGAAATACATTTGTGACCTCATAGATGAATTTAAAACTGTACTTCTGATCCAAGTGAGGCAAGATATAAAAAGATTAATTAAAGAAATGATAAGCCCCTCCCACAGATGGAAGAACAGAGGAACTCAGAAAAGGAAGAGAAACCTTTGATAAATAATATAAACACAACCTAGAATACATGAAACAGATCCAAAAAGATTACCAGGAAATTGAAAACTCTATTGAAAGCTGGCAAAATGCCTTGACAGAAACTAAAGTTAGCCTTTTGAAACTTGAAGAGAGATTTATGATGTGTGATCATGAAAGAAAAGATCTCTTAAAAATAACAGGAAAAAAACAATTCAAAGGCTAGAAGACGACAAGAGGGTTCATAACTTAAGAATAAAAAACATGAGCAAAGAAGCAGGAGTAAACACAAATGAATTACAAAGACTATTCACAAATATAATTAAGGAAAGCTTCCCACGCATAGGAAAAAGAAATGATATCCAGATAAATGAGGCATACAGAACTCCAGCCACCTACAACCAAAACAGATCTACACCCAGACATATAATAAAAGATTCCAGAAATCCACCACAAGAACAGAATACTAAAAGCAGCCAGAGAAAAGAAGCAGATTACCTACAAAGGTAAAATTATCAAAATAACAAGAGACTTATCAACACAAACTCTCAAATCAAGAAGAGCCTGGGGGGAAATAGTCCAAGCCCTGAAAGAAAATAACCTCCAACCAAGACTGATGTGCCTGGAAAACCTTTCTCTCAAAATTAATGGAGACACAAGATATTTCCAAGACAAGGAGGAACTTTGGAAGTTCATAGCCACCAACTCAACCCTACAAATAGTACTGAAGGACATTCCAGAAAGAGAGGAAAAAATAACAGGATTGCAGCAACAGTGACAGAGAGACCTCAACAAACAGGGCAGACAGTGGAATGAAGGAGTAAAGTGGAAAAATAA